GCTTTCCTTCTGCTCCGTTTGTTGCTCCAGTCCACGCTGCTCAGTGAGCAGAGGACGAGGAAGCTGTTTCCTGCTCTGTTTTCCTCAGTTGTGGGCGGGCGCTGCGGGCGGGCGCTGCGGGCGGCGCTGCAAGGACCGGTCCCATCCAAATGCAGTATAGTACCATTTTAAATTCCTCAGTACCGCGGTACCATACTAGTACCGGTATATCGTGCAACACTAGTTTACACTTTGACTCAGTGAGGTCTCAGCTCAATAACGCACGTGACCGTGGCACGCTGCAAAGAACAGTCAGTTTTGTTTTTATATCGTCTCATCTTTTGGACCCTTTTACATTTGTAATAGATGTAAAAGGTAAAATAAGCATTTAGTTCTATGAAATAATAAACAGTAAATTAAGAACCAAACAATTTCTGGAAAAATGGATGTGCAGTACTTTTGTTAACTTTGGCTGTGCTCCTTATTTAGCCATTTCTGGCCTGGGACCTTTGTCAGGAATAAGTGGTATAGATGATGGATGGATAGCCTGAGACACCGCTGTTAGTTTTATTTAAGGCTACAGTTTATAATTGGTTTTAGTTTTCATCCATTCATACTGTCTTGTTGTCTTTTGATGGGAGTGTTTCTTCCTTGATTCATGCCATGACCACTAGTTATCTAGATGGTAAAATGGGGTGGGTCTCTGTCTTTTTCTGATGGTCTGTTGACTGAAATGTTGAAAATAAAGTGAGTACAAGTGATGAGCTTTGTTTCTGCATTGATCATTTGATCCTGTGCACCTGCAGAAAAGACTGAACAGTGAGCAAGAACTTTGTTTGTGCTACAGTATCAATCACTCCTATTGATACCCCGATCCAACTCGAGCTTAACTGAGATAACACTCGTACATGTGTGGTTTTGTCTCCAGGCTGTCAGGCTGTCTGGTCACAGAGGAAGGCTGTGCTGCTCTGCTCTCAGCTCTGAAATCCAACCCCTCCCATCTCAAAGAGCTGGACCTGAGCTACAATCATCCAGGAGCCTTGGAAAAGAAGCCGTTGTTGGCTGGACTGAAGGACATCGTCAGGTATGGACAATGGGGCAGAGTCTCTGTCACTGTTGGTTCACAGTGGAAAAAAGGTTTGTGATATTTATCTTCTATCATGAATGGAGTCACAAATGTTATGTTCACTGAATGAAAGAGGCTGAACTCTGTGGGGAGGACACAGTGTACGTACCTGGGTGTTGGACAGGCACACATGCTTTCATTATTATTATTTTGTAATTCATCTTCGAGCATCCAGGTGAGTTTTGAATTCATGAGTTAATAATTAGCTTTGTAAGACCAGTGTGAGGTATTCTGTCCCAGTCAGACCAGCGTCGGTGGAGTGGAGCAGTGAACTCCACTGATGAAAGCTAATTTCAGACTACATGAGGAAGTGACTCGGATCGGATGTTTCCACAGAAGTGTGATCAAACCAGACCAGATGTTTTCAGATCTGGGCCACCTACACACTGCTCCTCAGTCCTCACTCGGTCTCTCTTTGTCCCTTCAGGCTGGAACATGGTGGAGAGCAGAGGCTGAAACGTGGTCTGAGGAGGTGTAAGTGTGTGTGTGTGTGTGTGTGTGTTCACTCGGGTCCATCACAACAAGGCAGCACATGTCACAGCTGTTTACATCAGAAGCTTGTGTATCTGCATTCACTTCTCAGTTTGAATGAAGACACAAAAGGATGTCACTGAATTTTATTTGGTGATCAGTTCATAGAGCAACAAATGAACCTGTCAGATGATGAACTGCTGCTGTGTTGTCTGTTTCTCGATTAGGGTACTGTGAAATCACACTGCACCCAGACACAGCACATGGACTCCTCACACTGTCCAACAACAACAGGAGGGTGGCATCCAACAGAAGCAAGCGGAAGCGGGCACATCCTGATCATCCAGATAGGTTTGACTACTGGCACCAGGTGCTGTGTAGAGACGCTCTGACTGGTCGCTGCTACTGGGAGGTAGAGTGGGAAGGAAAGGTTCATATTTCAGTGGCGTACAGGGGGATCAGAAGGAAGGGGCGCAGTTTAGACAGCAGGCTCGGATGTACTGATCAGTCCTGGAGTCTGTCCTGCTCTGATGACGGTTACTCTGTGAGTCACAATAACAAAACAACAGCCCTCCATCCTTCCCCTGCCTCTCACAGAGTAGCAGTGTATGTGGACTGTCTTGATGGCCGTCTGTCCTTCTACTGCGTCTCCCCTGACAAACGGATCCACCTCTACACCTTCAACACCACATTCACTGAGCCTCTCTACCCTGGGTTCTGGGGTGGATCTGGTTTTTCACTGTCTCTGTGCTCCCTGTAGGAGGGAGTTTTAAAGAGCCCATGGCTGCTCATTTAGCTCATTTTCAGCCATTTAATGTTTAATCTTGGGTACCTCTAGATTAGCTTTGCACCCCTCATAACTCCAAATAATCTAATTATTTCAGAATCATAAAACCAAAAGCCCTCTTCCTAAAAATGAAAAGACGCACACAACTCCTGCTGCTGGTGTTGTGTTGCAAGTGGACAGCACAACGAACCGCGACGGCATTAATTATTGTGAATTTGTCCTCCATAGATAGGTAAACAGCGGTATATGTACCAATGAAAAGAGATGTGTAACACTCTAAACAAAGCGGGTAAATGAGAAACCCCATATTTTAACTGGCATAATGCAGACACAGTAACTTCTCCAGCCTTATAACAATTCTCTGTAATGTTACAGTAACAAATCATTAACAGACATTTTGCCAGTATGGTGGGGACATCGGTGGATGTCAAGCAAGCTCAAATGAATGCGCAGCAGCCTGGATATTATGCCCATTGAAGGAGATCCTTAAACTATCACGTAATACTTTGTTTTGGTAGAAAAAAGTGAGAGAGTTTGCAATAAACCCAGTTGCTTCTGCATAGAAAGAGTGAGAGTTTACGATAAACCCAGTTGCTTCTGCATAGAAATGCTAGAACATATGTTCACATTTTTTGAGGTTTAGGTCACATCTAAGATAATTCACTGTTGTAACGTTGTAGATAAGTCAGAAAACAAGGAAAAGCTCCGTGGGCTCTTTAAGTTAAGGATAATAAGGATAATCACCTGTCTTTGGCCAAGTATGTTACACACAAGGAATTTCTCTCCAGTACAGAACCGAGAACTTCTTCTGTGGCTGATGACGTTTAAATTTAATGTGGGCCTAACTGTGAGACAAAAGAATTGACATCATAGACTTATAGAAAATGTTACGAGAAAATGAACGTAAAGCCATTTTCACATCTCACCTGAGATCCTGTCCTCTGTTTGTTGACTGGGACAAAATGACAGACAATCATTTCTTTAAATCATGTTAAAAAATGAATGAATGAATAAAATGATTAACACATGTTGGACTAGTTGCAGCTAATTTATCTTTAATATCTGTGTTGATGCAGTATCAGTTCTGCTGAGGTGGTAAACAGTAAATATTTCTCCTGCTGATTTCAAAGAAGTGAAATGTTTGGACTGATGACTAAACAGCTAAAGTCAGCTGTTACTTACATTTTGGTGCATAATAAAAAGCCTTTGCACTCAAAGATACCTCAAAATTATTTATTCTTAGCTTTGCTGAAATGTTTTTTTTTTTTTTACACACATCAGAACAAACATATTTGAAGTTTCTTTCAGAGTGCGGAGGCTTTTTAAAATTTTGTTTTATTTTTGCAGAGTACACCTGACGTGTACCTTGAGTGCAGCCTTTTTTGAATTGTTTAAAATTGACCCGATGTCTTAATGTCCTTTGGGAGACATTTCCACCTGTTGTAATAAAGTTGTTTAACAAAATGTGTTTGAGCAATGATCAGAAATTAGCTACAGCCATTTAAGCCCTAATGTTTAAAAATGTCTATAGGAGAGGAGTCCAAACAGTTTATGTCCAGGATGTGAGGGGTCTGCATAAATCCTCACTGTTCTCCTTCTGACCCGTGAGAGTGTCCAGGTCCTCCTTGGAGGGCAGGCTGGTACCGATGGTTCTTTTACATTAGCGTAGCACAGAGGAGAAGTCCAGTCTCTCTTCGGGACACAAACTTGTGAGTATACATGACAAATTACTACAACGCCTGCATTTGTAAAGTATAGATAATGAACACAACACACCCTGAATGTAAAATGGAGCCTATATGAAATGAACTGATTTCATTATAAAGACATCACAGCAGCAACGATGTTGCTGAGAGTAATGTCAAATTCACCTGCTGGGATTGTTTTGTATGCGTGTGTTTGTCATTTTAAAACAAATTGCTGTCATGAACAATGTGCCACGTACTGTGCATGACAGCAGTCGTATAGTCGCCGTCCTCTGAGGTCGTTTAGGAGCGACTGAAGCCGCCTCCGCTGGGATTCAGATCAGACCTGTGCGTGAGAAATGAATGTGCAAGTGTGAAATATTCAGGAAGTCCTGCCTGAATGTTTAAGTAGATGTCTGTGATGTTTTTATGGCAACTGAGGACAGAAATAACATCACTGATGGAGGAAACAGCCTGACCAGATCGAGTCTTTTACAAAGGTCATAGTGTTCAGTCCATGTGTATATTGAATAATATGCTATGGTTCTATAGCCAAAGGTTGTGTAGCAGTGGATCCCACCCCCATCCCTCCCTGTGCTGCTGGAAACCACTGTGTTTGTGTCTGTGAGCTGATGTTTGTCCTGTTGTGTCCAAACTGAATATGAATAACAAAACACAGTGTGTTCCTTCAACATTAACGTCCCCACAAATGACATCCAGAGACTAACATTGTGGTGTCCACAGCATCATGTGTGCGAGTCCAGACCCTGGTCCAGCTTATCGCTCTGTGCCATAGACCTCCACTGTTGTCCACCAACAATTAAAGCCACACCGCTGCACTGGGTCCTGAACATGGTCGTCGTTGGCAGAGTCCCTCACAGCCTGAGGACCTTAGTGGAGACTCCCAGTATGCAGGTCGTGTCCAGGTCCTCGAGACAGAGACAGGACGCTCCACTCTGAGAATCACTGACCTGAGAGAGAGCGACTCAGCCCAGTATCGCTTCACATTCAAAACACCAAACTTTGAATTTGGGAACAGTTTACCTGGTACAACTCTGACTGTCACAGGTACTGTGACACTAATGTAAATACACCAGTATAGTACATTTAGAAACATGTTGATAACGATCAATCATCATGAGTTTATTTACTGAATTGTAACTATTACGTTGACATGTTTGTTCATCTAGCATTGATTTTTGTTTTGATGATCAGTGTCTTGTTTTCAGATCCAGCTCTACAGGTGCAAATAACCAGAGTAACAGGTGACACGTATCCCACCTGTGTAGAGCTGAACTCAGATATACGTTGTGCTATAACACTTTGAAATTCATTTATGTGAAATGTATGTGATTCAGAAATATAAAATCTACACACTAATACACACTTTAAATGCAGCCTGGTGTACAAAATAATTTTAATTATATAATTGTGAGTTGTTTTAAACCAACATCTGGTTTTGGTTAAAGCCCTGACTCTCTGGGAGAACATCAAGAGCCCGACAGCATTTCACCTTGTAGTGTCGAACATTGTTCCAAACAGAAATTGAGAGGATGACAAGGTAATGAGGAGCACAAATGAAACCCAATTAAGTTGATGCATTAAAATAATGTGAGCCAAGTTCATCACATTATGCTCCAGTAGTGCATTACTGGATTAGTCTGGTTTAGGTGTGCTTCTCAGAGAATTTAGCCACAAACTGTTACTTTTCATATTTTAATATAACAGACTCATGTCCATCTAAGCCTCAAATCAGAAATATTTAGCACATCATGATCATTAATAAAGCTAGAGTTTTAGGAAACCTACTCTTAGCAGAAAGTGTGTGGCTCTGAAAAGAGCCTTTGGGTTGAAACTTCAGCAGTAGAGTGGTTTACTTGGAGCTGGTGTACTTGGTAACAGCCTTGGTGCCCTCGGACACGGCGTGCTTGGCCAGCTCCCCGGGCAGCAGCAGGCGCACGGCGGTCTGGATCTCCCTGGAGGTGATGGTGGAGCGCTTGTTGTAGTGCGCCAGGCGGGAGGCCTCGGCGGCGATGCGCTCAAAGATGTCGTTGACAAAGGAGTTCATGATGCTCATGGCCTTGGACGAGATGCCGGTGTCAGGGTGGACCTGTTTCAGAACCTTGTACACGTAGATGGCGTAGCTCTCCTTCCTGGTCTTCCTCTTCTTCTTACCGCCTTTGCTGGCGGTTTTTGTCACGGGCTTCCTGGAGGCCCTT